GCTACTGCCCGACTTATAGGGCATTTCTTAATTAGCGATTGATGGCAGCACCCGGGAGGCTGAGGCAGGTGATCTCTGAGTTTGAGGCCCGCCTGGTCTACAGAGAGAGTTCCAGGACAGCCAGGGTTACACAGAGTAGCCAAAAGAACAAAAACCAAAAAGCCAGAGTGGTAGTGGTGACTTCCAAGCTCTTAACATAATGTTAGAGTGAAATTGGAAGGGTGTGTGTGTGTGTGTGTGTGTGTGTGTGTGTGTGTGTGTGTAGGTGTGATTGTGTGGGTGTAGGAGTGTGTATTTTTGTGTCTTTGTGTGTGCCCCTGTGTTTGTTAATGTGATGGGGTTAGAATTTGTTAGTATGTGGATTGTATGTCATGGTGAGAGTGAGTGTAGCTGTCTTCGTGTGTGTGAGTATGTGTAGTGTGAGCATCTGGTGAGTGGTGTGGGGATGTAGGTGTGTGAATGTGCCTGTGTGGGAGAGAATGTGAATGCCGTGTGGTTCAGTGCCTATATGAGTAGGTGTCTGTGCAGGCATTGATGTGGGTGTTCACTGGTGTCTGTGAGTGAGAGACTGTGTGAATGAGTGGGTGTGGGTATGAGAGAGTATATGGGAATGAATGAATTAGTGTGATTTCGTGTGTGTATCTGTGTAGAATAGGTGTGTCTGTGTGAATTTGCATGTGTATGTATCTCCAAATGTGAGGACATGGGTGCTTATATGTGTGTGACGTGTGTGGCTATCAATGTGTGTGTGTACTTTGAGAGCATGGGTGTGTGAGTGCAGAGGAAATGAGTGTATGTGTATGAATGTGTCTGGGAGAATCTGTGAATATGAGAATGTGGGTGTGAGGTGAGTCAGTATTTGACACAAGTGTGACTGTAAACGCATGTGTCTGTGGGGCATAAGTGTGTGTGTTTGCATGAAGACGTGCTTGAATGTTGTTGAGTGTCGGGGTGCATTGAGTATAAGTGTGTGTACATATGTGGGTGTGGACATTCGTGAGTGTTCGTGTGGATGCATGTGTGTGAGTTTAAGTTTTAAAATTAAGTAAAAAGTGAACTCCTTAGATGGAGTTGTTTAGGTGAAGGGTGAGAGAGTCACACTTACAGGTGAAACTCAAGCTTGCAAATACTCTCGTCCTAAGTGGCATTTATTTGTTGAATTTTTATAAGCTACTTTTATTTTTATGTATGTGAGTGTTTTAGCTGCATGCATATATGTGTGCCACTTGTGTGCCTGGTGCCTGTAGAGACCAGAAGAGAGCATCAAATCCCCTGGAGCTGGAATTATGGACGATTTTGAGCCACTATGTGGGTGCTGGAACCAAACCCAGGTCCTCTTTGAGAAGAACCAGTGCTCTTAACCTCTGGCATCATTGCAGCCCCTATTTGTTGTTTCAGACATCTTTAGGAAGCTGTCTGTTGGCAATTTGGAGCTGTCAGTCATGGTGAAGTTTCTATGACAAACTGGGCTGGAGTGAGGGTGGCTTCTTTGACTGTTTTCCTCGTTGTACTGCTCTGCTTCCACATTCCGTGATTCAGCCAAGGACAGAATACATTGAGGGAGATAAAACTGTGTGCATACTGAAGGTACCGTCTTCCTTGCCCATCATGGTTCCCCAAACAATGCTGTGTAACAACTATTCACACTCCATTTGCATGTCTTGAGTGCTATGGGTAATCCAGGCATGCCTGAAACTAAACAGGAGACTGCTTTTGGTTATAGAAAAACACTACATCATTTTACACGTGAGACTTTTGCATCTGTGGATTTGGGTATCTGCAGAGGTCCTACACACCCCCGATACATAGTGAGATAACTGACTGTACACGTGCAAATTAAACAGCTGTGAGGCATCGGTAGTTTAGAAGAACAAGCAGAGAGCAAACAGATTGTCAATCACTTCCTTTGTAGCAGTATTGGTAGTGAGGAGGCTGAGGTGGGCCACAAGGAGGTCTACCAGGGTCAGTCACAGGGGCTAGAGGGCCCAGGCAAAAGGAAGATGTTCAGGGGACAGTCTTGAAAGGCACAAGGCTCCAAGTTCTCCAACTGCAGCTCAAACCACTCCTCTTGGTTATACCTTCCTTCATTCATTCCCCTCTTAGCTTGCTTGATAGCTATGTGAGGTCATTTTTATCACTGGATGCTGCGGAGTCCGTGTCAGGGATGGAGTGTAGGAGTTAGCTGGTGAATCCAGGGGAGTTTAAAAGGAGGTCTGTGGATCTTGGGGCCTGTTGTCAGGAGTCACAGAAGGCAGAAGACTGCGGCTGTGTCCTGGTAAGTGTGCGGCGTTGCCCACTGGTGGCCTACTCTGAAGATAAGTGCCATGATTCTCTTTTACAGACGAGAAAGCTGAAGTTCAAAGGGAAGCTGTACATCTGCCCCAGTAGAAAGGATCTGGAATTCAAACTCACAGCCTGACTTTAGTCCAGACTCCCGCCTGCTCAGCCACACCAAGGCCCAAGTTAACCCAGTGTGGAGAAGCCATGCGTTTCACAGCCTCAGTGGCTGCCGCCTGTCCCCAGATGCACAAGCAGTGGCTGTGGACGACTTGGCAGCAGGCTGGCTGGAAAGTTGGCCTCAAGCCTCCATTGTTTCAGCATTTTATAACCTTGTCCTGGGTAGGGGGCTGGGGTGGAGGCTGCTTTTCATGGGAACTCAGACAGGGAAGGAGGGTGAGCCCTCCAACTGGGACGCAGGCCAGGAGAACAAGAGAGCTGGGAGCCAGCCAAGGTTCTATGCCTCCCCCCAACACCCCTGGAGCATCCAGCTGTGGCATAGCCAGGCAGGCCAGATAGGCTGTGGGTGGAGGGAGGGACTGCAGGAGGATGGTAATGAGGAGTGGTCTGCAAGAGAGAGACAAGAAGAAAGGGGCCATGAAGATCTCAAGGGTAAAACCCTGCTGTGCAGGCTGCAGTCTTCTGATCACTCAGGGAAGCAAGGGGGCTTCTTGGAGGAGGGATATAGTGTTCCAACTGCTTAGAGATGAGCAGGAGGGGGGCTGGCCTCCTTGGTGGATCGGACATAGGTAAGAGGAAGATACCAATGAGCAAACACCTGACCCTCAGGGCACTTTCAAGCAGTTCAATCTGTCCCATATTTGTACCTGAAATACAGCATAATAAGAGACAAGGTTGAGGACTGGGGCATGACTCAGATGGTAGGGTACTTGGGGTATGACTGAGTTGGTAGGGTACTTGGGGTATGACTGAGTTGGTAGTGTATTTGTGGTATGACTGAGTTGGTAGGGTACTTGCCTAGCATTTGGGAAGCCCTGGCTTCAACCCAGTAAAACCGAGCATAGCAGTGCACACTTGTAACCCCAGCCCTTGGGAGGAGGCTGGAGGGTAGGAAGTCTAAGGTTATCCTTGACTACATAATGAGTTCAAGGTTAACCTGGGCTACATGAGACTCTGTCAAGAAAGAAAAGGAGTGCTGCATAAGTGGTCAGTGGTAGAGCTCTTGCTGCTTGCTCTTGCAGAGAATGGAAATTCCCAGGACCCTTGCTGGGCAGCTCACAACTGCCTATAAATCGAGTTCCAAGCCAAATATTGGTGGCACACACCTTTAATCCCAGCACTCTGGAGGCAGAGGCAGTCGAATCTCTGTGAGTTCGAGACCAGCCTGGTCTACAGAGCGTGTTCCAGGACAGCCTCCAAAGCAATACAGAGGAAACCCTGTCTCGAAAAAAACAAAAGCAAAAACAAAAATAAACAAAACAAACAAACAAACAAACAAACAAACAAAACGAGTTCCGGGGGATCTAATGGCCTCTTCTGGCCTCTGCAGGCACCTGTACTTACATGCGCTTGCCCTCCTAATACATGTATACATAATTTAAAAAATAAAATAAATCTTAAGAGAAAAAAGAAAAGCAGAGAGAGAGAGACAGAACTGCTGGGGTATGGAATGCATTCAAAGCATGAAAGGTCCTGATGCATGTGACATTCTCATACTACAAAAACAGAAAACAGCCATTGTTCAGCCTAACTGGACATGCTGTAGTTTTGTTTGCTAAGTATGGCTACTCTGGTCTTGGGGGCAGTTTCCAGTGGGAGCCTCCAGAGGCTGTTAGGTGGAAAATATGTCATCGGATTTGCATAGGGACAGAAGAGGACAGTGATATGGCTCAAGGCAGGTGTCCACTGGGAGACTGAAGCCAGAGCTGTAGGGATGACACATGTGTGGACAGATGGAGATTTGTCAAAAGAGGTCAAATCAATGGGCCTTACTGAATCACTGAGTGTGGAAATTGAGAAAATGGGACAGTCAAGGATGACGTCCTGATTTCTGGGCAGCTAGACAGATGGCAAAGGCCTTTCCTGAGTTAGAAAGGAAGGAGAGAGGGAGTTGTGGAGCCCAGTTTTTGGTGTGAGTGGCAGTGGCTGAGCATGGTAGCAGAGGGGAGGTTTGAGACGGCTGGAGCCTGGGTCTAGAGCACAGGACGGTGCTGGACGGTGATGTTTGGAGAAGATTGACTTAGTGAGGAAAACTGAAACCATGGGAATGGATGAGACAGTGAGTGGAATGGGAAAAGAAGGGACAAAGGGAAACTGGGGGATAGGCTCACTCTGGAGAAAGCAAGGGAGAAGCAAAGTCAGTAAGTAGCTCAGACTCAGAGGTGGAGATGTGGGAAAACTTGGGGAAGTCAAAAGCAGGGTCAGAGGGAGAATGGACTTGAGAGTGGGGACTACCAAAGCGCCAAGGAGCACAGCATGTGGGCGTGCAATTCAGTTGCTAGAGTGCTTGCTTCGCCTGCACCAAGCCCCGGGGGCCACTCCCAGTAGTGAGTGCATTTCAGTGCTGGGGAGGCTTAGGTAGGAGGCCCAATCATAAGTTCTTAAAAAAAAAATACCCAAACCCAAACCCAAGCAAAGGGATGATGGGGGAAGTCCTTCTGTGTATATGTTTGTCTTATTGGTTGATAAATAAAGCACTGTTGGCCAATAGGGAAGCAAGTTAGGCGGGACTAGGAGAGAAGGAGGACTCTGGGAAATGTAGGAAAGGGAGAGAGTCGCCATGTGATCCCAGAAGAGAGGACACATAAGGCCGGCGTCCTGGGTAAGATAAGTTCTTATAAAAATATGTAGATTAGTAGTTACTGAGCTAGCAAATAAGAAATCCTAGTCATTGGCCAGCAGCATTGTAACTAATGTAAGTCTCTGTGTTATTTGGGGGCCCTAGAGTGGCAACAGAACCCAGGAAGCTGGCAGAAAGAGTTATCATTACAAAGGGATGTCCATTGGTAAAATATAGTCTTCTGGCTGTGGCTGCTGAAGACCAGATAAGGGGAGATGCAGTGGACCTGCGTGCAAGAGGTGAGGGGAGAATGGAAATGGACACGAGACTTCCATGATGGTCGCAGGCAGGCATTTGTCTAACTCTCTCTCCTGGGAAAAGGATGAGGAAGGGTATAAATTAGCCCATGTGACCGAGAGGATGGGAGGGACAACATCAATGGGGAAGAGATGTCAGCAAACTTTGAGAGACAGGATGCTGATAGACAAGAAGCAGCCACAGTGACTAACAGCATTAGAAGAGCCGTTGAGGGCAGTGTCCTGAAGAATTCTTGAGAGATGGGCTGGAGAGGTGGCTAGGTAGTTAGCAGACCCAAGTTGAGTTCCCAGCACCCACTTCAGACAGCTCCTCACAGTCTGCAATTCCAGACCCAGGGATCTCCTGGTATCTATCCATTGGCACCTACACTCACACACACGTTCACACACAGAGACATAATTTAAAATAAAAATGATTCTTGAAAAGCTCAAGAATCCCAAGAACTAGAAGGCCCAGAGCAGTGTGAGTCTGAACACCGAAACTGTCACTGGGTCTTTCATGCCCCATGCCAGCATATGGCTATACCCACGGGTTGAAGGACAGCAATTTCTTTTTAAAACCAGGGGAAATAAACCAAAAGAGTCACAAACTTGCACAGATCATGTGGAACAGACAGCACTGTCAGCAGGGGCTGAGACAGAACTCACGAACGATGGCACTTGCAGTCTTCCTCCATGACCTGCCCCCAAATGCCCCACGCCACCACGCAATCGAATGCAAACTGCAGATGATGATGATTGTTATGGTTATGGTGACAGTGGCACTCTGCCCACCCTTCATTCTTTCACTAGAGCCTAACCACGGACATGGAACTTCCAACCTTTTGGAGCCTTGCAATTGAAATGTGAAATCCAGGCTGGGGAGGGGGGGGCGGCTCATGCAGTGCCAGCATGAGGACCTGGGTTCAGATCCCCGGACCCATGTTAAACTGGGCATGCTGGCATGTTTCTATAATTCCAGCACTGCTACAGTGAGGTTGGAGATGGAGACAGACGAATCCCCGGAAGTTCATGAGCCAGCTAGCCTGGGGTACATAGCAGCGAATGGTAAAGAGATCCCAACTCTAAACAAGAAAAAAATGAAGACAAGACCAGGTTTGTCCTCTACACCCTGGTACATGCCAGCACATACAAACACACACACATACATGCATATACAACACACAGAGATGTGTGCGAACATCCAGCCATGTGTGAGGAAGCTTAAACAGCCATGTGGAAAAGCTCCTGGCCCACCTACCATCCCAGACACTAACCACCAGTGCCCTGGGGCATGTGAATGGGGAGTGGCTGATGTGTGATTCCATGTCATTCTTAGGCCGTGTCTTCAACTGAAGAAAGGAAGAGAAGCTGCAAGCAGAGGCATGTCTTAGAAACTCTGATCTGCCACAGTCATTACTACAGTCAGGGTGTGTTTGGAAGAGCTGAGCTCACTGGAGCAGGAAATAGAATGGTGCTTCTGGAGAGGTGGACAGCAACTCTTGAGTTTCAGTTTTGCCAGCTGGAAAGGTCCTAGAGAGCTGGAGCACTATGTGACACCTGTACTTAACAACACTGCATTGTGCCCCTCAAGAAACGAAATCTGAGGCTATATCTCATGTTAAGGTTCTGACCACAGAAATGGAAACTAAAGCAAGTGGCACCAGGGAACCTTTGACAGTGATGGACAAGTTAACGTGGCTGGTGGTACAGTTCCATAGGTGTGTGCCTGTGTCCAAATTCATCAAATAGCTTCAGTTAAGTACGGCAGGCTTTTGTGAGTCAGCGCACTTGTGAGTCAGTTCTTCCCTGATAAAGTTGTTTTTCAAAACCCCCCAAACCCACGCAAAGGCCAGAAAGAAGTTTCTAGGGGGTATGGCTTGAGGTAGAGAGCAATTGAGGGATGTGGGGTGCCCCACCAAAGGCCTCCAGGGCTCGTGAAGGAGTTGCCTGCTTGCCTACTGTGTTCCTCTGATCACAAGTAGAGCATTATGATCTGTGACCACACAGGATGGGAAACACTGAGAGAAGCCTAGTCACACGGATTTCTTCTCTGGATGACTTCTCGGAGCCTTCAGTTTGTTAATTGCACCGTGTCTGTCCAAGAAGGTGACAAGTGTGCAGCAGTCTCAGGGTCTCTTTGATTACAAAGTTCCCCTTCTCAGGGTTCCTTGGAGGATCTGGACCCATCTGCATTGTGTTTGAGGAGGGAGTGGCCACTGGTGCATTGGAGGTGCCTGTTGGGGCTGATGTGGGGTGTGAGAGGGATTAGAGGCAGGGCTGGAGGTGAAGGGTCCAGGTGAAGGGCTGGGCTAGAACCTGTTCAGCTTTGGTGGAAGAGGTAAGACGATTCAGGTAGTATCTATGAGGAGATGAGGTGATGAGCTGACTTGGAGGCAGCTGGAGTGTGTGTGTTTGTGTGATTGGGGTGGGGGTGGGGGTTATCCCCTAAAACAGGAAGCCCCTTGTCGGGAAGAAACTCCAGGACATTGCCCAAGTGTTATGTGGAACCCACCAGAGAGGACCATTCAGACAGTTTATAGCCAACTGGAAATCTTTATTCCAGCTGGCTTAGACTACACTCAGGATTTTGGGTCTTAAGTGTACCCACAGTGTCCATGCCCTGGCATTTTGCTTGGCAGCTGCAGGGGGGCTTTGCAGAAGCAAGCAGTTTAACAGAAGTTGGCAAGTGGTTAGCTGGAACAGAAGCTGAGTTAGCTGGGACATCCTGTCCTCAGGGTCCTAGAATAGAGCTGCGTCGTTTTTCATGGGATTCTCTATCAGGGAGATGATTTCTGCATTGTCTGACTTGTCACACAAGGAAGGACCACATGGGTGCCGGGAATCTAATCTAGATCCTCAGCTAGTGCTCTTAACTGCTGAGCCATCTCTCCAGCCCCCATGTCAGGGTATTTTAACACAACCAACAGAAAAAGAAATAAAGACACTCATCAGACAAAATCATGGAAAATCCTGATTGGTGTAGCCTCAATCACACATATGTTCTACATACCCACCCACCCCACCCCACCGGATTCCAAACCCTGCCATAGGAGATGCAGGTTGATTGCTAAGAAACACCCAGCCTGGGGCAAGGTCCCTTCCAGAGCAAAATCAGGGTAGAATTGTCCCAAGCAAGGGTGGATGGGTGCTGAGCTGTCAAGGTAAGACATACCTAGAACTATTTCTGTGTCCTGATTCTGGGAACTTCGCCTCAACTCTGGGCATTTCATGCTTCCCATAAATAAATTATTAGTAATGTGATAGGCTTTAGGTTGGATTGATTCTGACAATCACTACTGCAATTATTAGTAGAGTGACAGGGAGAAGCAACAAGAATGTACAGAGCTGGACTTACGAATGGACCAGTGACTGAATGGTCGGTGGACAGATGATGGTAGATGGGAGGGTAATGGATGCATGGGTGGATGGGTAAGGCTGTTTTTTTTCTAGCTCCCAGTGACAATACATCCATTGTGCTTTCTGTCCATGTATTTACTCTTATGACTAGCCTAATACAGATCTTCAGCCATTGTCTTATTCATTGCAGCTCCTGCACCCAACACAGCCTGATCTAAATAGGGGCTCACAGAACATTGGAATGAGGGTAAAAACTTCATCTATAAACCAAGTTCCCAGTTTGGCCTCTGTGATGGCTACTCTTGGTTGTCAATGTGATTATATCTGGAATGAACTACAATCCAGTAGTGGATAGCACACCTGTGATTGGATCTTGAGGCAGGAAGACAACACACCTTTGATCCGGATCTTGAGGCAGGAAGGCATACCTTTAATCTGGGCACACCTTCCGATGGAAGCCTCTATAAAGATGTGCTTGGCCGCATCTTGTCAGCGCATCCATTCCTTCACTGGCATTGAGCCTATTTCTTCAGGATCCAGCATCTACAGAAGACCAGCTGAGATACCAGGCCTCATGGGACTGGGAACTACTAGAGTCTTGAACTTTCCATTCACAGCTAGCCATTGTGGGCTTGCAGCCTGTAAGTCATTCCAATAAATGGAGAGAGAGAGAGAGAGAGAGAGAGAGAGAGAGAGAGAGTCATTCGGTAAGTGACGCTAGAGAACCCTGGCTACACCCTCTGAGCTTACTTCCCCATCCATCGCCAGTGGCTATTGCTGCTCTCACCAGCAGGCATTATGACAACCCATGCAATGGCTCAGTGAACAAGAGCTCCGACTGTGGACATGAGCGGTTCAGAGGAACAAGCACGTCACACTGGTCTCCAGCTTCATGGGAAAATCCTGGCACCAGCATGGAAGTAGTTTAACTGCTCTTCTGCGCTGAGAAAAATGTCAGCAGCCAGCTGCTCACCAGGTCCAGAGGATAATTTTGCAAGGTTGCTTGGGTGAGTGGGGAGTTCGGCCCCTTGGAGGGAGATAGAGGTTTAGAATATGCTCGGCTCCTAGGTGATGAGTCTGAACCCTGGTAAGAAGCAGGGCTGAACACAGGAGAGGCAGGGTTTCCTTGGAGGTTAGAAACCCTTGTTACTAGAAACCTTCATGCAGTCAGGGAAATGCTTGGGGTGGGGAGGTGATGGACAGCTCTGCATTCTACCCTTGAATTCTCCAGGTCTCACCAGCCCACGGGGCAGGGCATCTTCTAGGCTGGCCACTGTCCTCAAGCCATGCACAAACTGGCCCTAACTTCCTAACATGCATAGAAGGAAAGCAAGACTCTGTAGGTTCCCACCCCTTGTCCCTGTCACCCACTAACAGTAGCAGTAGTGCTGTGACAAACAGCACTGATCTGGCCTGTGCCCTGTCACTGACTCCTGGTGACCCTTCTCTAAGGCAAATGTCACTCTTCCCATTGTGCCTTTTCGAAAACAGACTTAGGGAGTCATTTGCCCAAGCCCTGCAAGCCAGTAAACAGTAGTGTCTAGATGCTAAGCTTGGTGTGGACTTGGTTTGACCTGGTCTCACTGTGCAGCTGCCTCAGTATTGACACTGAAGGGTTCAGAACACGCTACCTACAAATATGGCCCTGATGATTGTAAGGTGAAAGCTGTTGAGAAATGTCCTATGTAGGAAAGACTTTGTTGTTCTCCTGAAGCAGCTCACAGAAGTTCCCCATGAGAGGACCCTTCCCTGCCTCTCTTCTCCTTGGAAGACACAGGGACACTGAGAGGAGCCTGAATGGACAAGCCTGATGACATTTCCCCACTGTGACACTTAGCTAAACACCCATCACTCTCTTCCACTCCCCACCCTCTCCTGAATTCAGGGTACAATGCATGCCTGCTTCTTCAGCTCTTCATTTCCTTACCCAGACTCCCCATGTCACAAAAATGTATATATACAATTTATATAAAATTAGTATGCATGTTTCCCTTGTTACTCTGTCTTCTGTTATGAGGAATTGAGAACTTAAAAAATTAGAAGGAAAATCTATCTTTCAAGTCAGGTATGAGGCACACACCTGTAATCCCAGCACTTAGGAAACAGAGGCAGGAGGATCCTGAGCCAGCCTGGGCTACATAGTGAGGGTCTGTCTTAAAATACCAAGAAAGGCCAGGCATGATGGGGGCAGAGGCAGGTGAGTTCCAGGCCAGCCTGGTCTACAAAGCAAACCCCAGCCAACCAGGGCTGCATAGCAAGATTCTGTCTGAAAATCAAAACAAAAACAGCAGCAACAAAATGAAAAACAAAGGGCGGGCCAGGGGAGTCAGCTCCAAAGTGTTAGATTCAGCTGTCAACTTGACACAAAAGTAGTTACACCTGGGGAGAGGGGATCTCAACTAGGAATTGCCTCCATTAGATTGGCCGGTGGGCAGGTCTGGGTTACTAACTGATGGGAGGTTCAGAGCCCACTGGGGGGAGGGGCAGGTACTATCTCTGGGCAGGTGGTTCTGGACTATAAGAAAGCAAGTCAGGAAGAGCTACAGGAAGAGCTACAGTAAACAGTATCCCTCTGTGTGTCTACTTCAGTTCCTGCCTCCATGTCCCTGCCCTGAGTTCCTGTACAGGCTTCACTCCATGATGGACTGTGATGTGGAAATGCAACCCAGATAAACACTTTCCTCCATCACCACACAACAACAGAAAACAGGAGCCATTGGTAAACCACTGACTATGTAACTATGGTGGTTTGAATACGAGCGGCCCCCAGAGGTTCACATATTTCAATGTTTGGTCATCAGGAAGTGACAGTTACTTTCGAGAGATTAGGAGGTGTGGTCTTGTTGGAGGAAGAGTATCACTAGGGGTGGACTTGGAGTTTCAAAAGCCCAAATCAGGCCCAGGGTCTCTCTCTCTCTTCCTCCTGACTTTGGATCTAGATGTAGAACTCTGGCACCATGTCTGCCTGCTTGTGGCCATGCTGTCCACATGACAGACTAAACCTCTGAAACTGTAAGCAGGCCCCAGTTAAAATCTTTTATAAGAGTTGCTGGGGTCTTGGTGTCTCCTCACACAGATTAAGAGAACAAGCATGAGGAACAGGGTTTGGATCAGAACACCAACTTAACAACTAGGCATGGGCACACACCTGTAACTTGTGTTGGTGGTGTCTTAGTTACTTTTCTCTTGCTGTGATAAAGTGCCATAACCAAGGCAACTTATATAGGAACACATTCAACTGCACTTTTGGTTCCAGAGGGTTAGAGTCCATGATTGCAGCACAGTGTTGGCTGGAGCAGTTGAGCATTTACATCTTTATCAGAAAGAGAGAGAGAGAGAGAGAGAGAGAGAGAGAGAGAGAGAGCATGCACTGGAATCTAATGAGTCTTTTGAAACTTCAAAGGCCACCCCCAGTGACACACCTTCAACAAGGCCATACCTCCTAATCCCTCAAAAGCAACTGTCACTTCCTGATGTCCAAACATTCAAATATATGAGCCTATGGGAGCCATTCATATTCAAACCACCTCACAGTATAGAGACAGATGTATTCCAAGGGCTCATTGGTTAGTTAGTCTAGCTACAATTATGGGATTTTTACAGGTTCGGTGAGAAACCTTGTCTCAAAAAAAAAAAAAAAAAAAAAAAAAAAAGGTGGCAAGCTGGGGAGATGGCTCAGTGTGAGGCCTTGGTTTAGGATTTCCAGAACCCTAGGAAATGTTGGGGGTGTGGCAGCCTATCTGTAATTCCAGCACTCAGATGGAGACATGCTCTCTGGAGCAGCTGCTTAGCTAGAGTAGCTTTATCAGCTGCTTTGGGTTCAACTGAGAGACCCTGCCTCAAAGGATAAAGTAGTGAGTAATCGAGGAAGACTTCTGACGTCAACCGTGATCCTCCATATGCTTCCGCACATATGTGCACATATTCATACACACCCTCCATACAAACCACATTAAAAAATTAGGTGCAGAGCAGTCGAGGAGGAAACCTGGCATTGCTCTTTGGCCTTCATGTGTGTTCATGCAGGTAAACACACACACACACACACACACACACACACACACACACACACACACACACACACACACAAAACCAACGGAAAGGATGTGTCCCACAGCACAGCACTTGCTGGCTTTGCTCCCCGGCACCCAAAAAATAAACAGAAAGCATGTTTTTCTTCACCTAACACACACACACACACACACACACACACACACACACACACACACACACAAAAATATTATTCAGCCTTAGAAAAAGAAGTGTCTTCTGATGTTATTGCGATGTGGATGGACCTTGGAAATAAGGTGCACAGACTGGTACATGTTGCATGATTTCAATAAGGTGAGAATCCTAGAGTTGTCACATTAAGCATAAATTTGTTGTTGTTGTTTCCTTGATGAATAAGTCTCAGTATGTAACGAGGCTAGGCTGGAACTCAGTCTTCTGGTTGTTCCCAAAGGCTGGGATGACAGGTCTGTACATCACACCTAGCTGGTAAAAGACAACCTTAGCTCGGAGCTGGGCACACGTAACCCAGTGCTTTATTGACCACCTGGGTCACAGCCTTCTTCAGCCCAGCCCTCCAAGGGACCATTCAGCTCTAGAAGTTTGGGCATTTTCACATACCCAAGTCTCTGGGCCTCTTGGCTTCTTGCATGGGAGTAGGCCGCAGAGTCTTTTCTGCACTGTGGGAGGGAAAAGCGCCTCTAAGAGCTGCTCGGGTCTGGGCTGGTTCCTGGGCTGAGACAGGGAGAACACAGGCATCTTCATCGCCCAGTTCTGCAGCTATGACCCTGCTCTCTGCACTAAGCGCTCCCTGCTGTGTCAGTGGGGCTATCACACCACCTGGCAGTGGCACACCATCACCAGGAGGCTTGGAGAAGGTGCTGGGAGGCCCTAGCCCACCTACAGTATGAGGTAAGACCAACAGCAACTCAGCAGTCCTTGTTCAAAGTGTTGCCTCTCCACCCTGACTTGCAGGCTCCCTGCTGTTCTCTGCACTCTACCCTCCAGTCCCTTCACTAAATTTAAACCAGGGCCAAGCCCCCTTACCTGTCAGTCCAGGACAGGAGTCTCCTCCTTCCCCACCAGGGGGCGCGCGCGACCCTTGCAAAGCCCTCCCTGGACTGTAAATGAAGGGCACAACAGTGGGGAGCTAGGTCCCGGGCCCTAGGTTTGCTGGTCTAGAAAGTGGGAAGGGGCAGCTAGGACAAGCTTCTCAAGCTCTCTCTTTTTAAAATTATTAACATGATTTATTTTTAAAATGTAATATTTTAATTTTTTGAGAATTTCATGCACATGAGTTGCCTGGGACCCTTCTTTGAAAGCAGGTTTTAGACCTGGTCTGAGTCGGGCCCTGACAACGCGCTTTTCAGACAGGCTCCCGTGTGGCGTCCTTGTCACTGGTTTCGGCTCTGCCCACAGATGAATTTCTGACCTCTGTGTCCTGACCCCCTTTGCTTGCCAGGCACCTGTAATTCCAGCAAGAGGGAAGCAAGAATGACTATGTCAAGTTGGAGGCCAACCTGTAGTGAGTTCTAGGTCAGCCTGGAATACGTAGTCAGGCCCTGTGTCAAAACATAAACCAACCAACCAAATTCTCCTGAAGAGTGGCCTCCTGTGTGCACCGACTCCCTCATTCATCAGAGGCCTTTCCCGGCCTCTGTGCTAGGGAGAGAGATGAGACTGGGCCCTACAGATGAGCTCCAGGACACAGCCTCTGGGGATTATCTGGGTAGGAACAGGAGAGATGCCTGGATGTGAGGAGGTCAGGGGAGACTACCCTCATCCCTACCAGGAGAAGAGATTCCACTACCTGTGCCTGGTGAGTGTACAGGTGTGCCAGGATAAGGGCAAGGCCTTCCCAGGTATGGGCAGGGCAAGAAAGGCCCAGAGAAGAGAGGGTTGGCCACAAAGATGAAACACTTAGACAGCTACAGGGGCTGCACACACAGATGTCTTCCACAGGCACAGTGATAAATACACACACACACACACACACACACACACACACACACACACTCAGAGGGACAGATGTGGCCCGGAAGCAGTGCCTAAAATGGTCTTTTGGGAGACATGGGATTTGAGGCAGAGGACAGATGTGGGCAGGAAGCAGTGCCTAAAATGGTCTTTTGGGAGACATGGGATTTGAGGCAGATTCTTCTAGGTAGCCCTAACAGGTCTGAAAATCACAGCCATCCTCCTGCTTCAGCTTCCTGAGGGCTGAGATTATAAGCTCATACTACTATGCCTGATAGGATGGGAATTCTTACTCAAGGAACTTCCTTGCCTTTCCACATGACTAGGATGCTGTAATGGTCTCCATGGCAGCCTACTGCTGTCTTCTACTCAATGGCCAAAGTGCCATGTTCTCCAAATTTTATAGTCTACCCCAGCCCTAACTCTGGGTCTCTAGAACCAGAGATCTGACCCCTAGAAAGTGTCTTATCCACACTGGACCCATATCCATGCCCCTGCTTCTCCACCCTTGACCCTGTGCTGTCCCCCAACAACTTGAGGGAGAAATCAAGGGTTAGCCTCTTGCAGGCATCTGGGATCTAGAGACAGACACCCATATATGGGGTTAGGTCGGGATATGTTAGGGTGGTCTACAAAGTACAAAGGTCTTAGACCTCCTGGCCTGCCCTCCACCCCAAAGCATTCACCCATCCTTCCATCCCTTCAACTCTCTGAGCACCTGCCATGCACCCAGCCACAGGCAAGCCCAGCCAGAGTGATGTCCAGGCCCCACAATGAAGCCCAGGGGCACACTTATAACAAGGAGGATCTTGAACACATGTCAGGCTTGTGGTGCTTACAGCCACATGAACAAAATGGTTGGAGAGGCTCTGAGAATCCAGAGCCAGAGAGGAGACACCTCAAGCTTCAGGATCCGAGCTCCCTAGATCACATGGACAGCTTTCCCAAAGAGGAGGGAGCCCAGATAAGGGACTTTCCCAGACCATCAGATCTGGTGGAGATAGAT